GACACAGATACGTTTTAGTTTTCTGAACTGATTTGATTAGAATTGAGAGATCTTTGCTATATACAGAATTATTTGTGGTAACCTTATAATTAAATCTAACTCATCTGTTTTCGTTTGGGGAAAATAGCAAGCCTGTTAGTTAGGTTATGGTTAGGGTCTAAGTTAGTAAATATACAGATTTCGGGGAAAAAAAGCTGTCTTTGTTGATTCGACTTTTGAAACACCCACACACACACCTTTGTTACCTTAACAGCATATGACGCAGGATTAATCGATTATTATTCAGTAACCATTTTAATATATATCACTACAAAAGTCTAAAAGTCTGAAAAGACCAGTTTTTGTCTTAATTTGCATGAACTTTTACTCGACATTCTCCAAAAGTATGACTTGTGTCTTAATTTTTCTTGACAAATTCTCATTTATATTAAATTTGTATGAAATTTACTCGACATAATCTCGACATTCTGAATATGGTCTTAAAATTTCTTGACAAATTCTTGACATTTGAATACTGTCTTGAAATTTCTCGACATATTCTCGACATTCTTATTTTTTCTCAGTATGGCTTGACATATTCTGAACATTTTGAATCGTGTCTTAAATTTACTTGACAGTTCTGAGTTTTACAAATCATGACCAGTATTCATGATATAACTTTAATCTTTATTTCTCTTTATATGATATACTGTAGTGTCAAGTTACACTTCTTTACAACAAAAATAAAAGTTGGGCATGTAAAATAATTGAAAATTTGGGTATATAAATATTTTTACAAATGCAAATATGGCTATGAAATCTAAAGTATAAAATAATTCAAATGTGGGTGTGTTGATATAAAACAATTTCAATGTGGGTGTTTAAATAATTACAAATTTTGATTCCTAAGTCTTATAAATTAAATGATTCAAACCAATCATACTGTAGACATATTTCATTCTACATTCATAATATTCAATGTTGATATGGTGAATAATTATTATACCAAAATGTGGTTTATATAAATAGCAAATTATGATATACAAATCATTCATTTAACAGAAGAAAAATTTGTGTAATGTCATCTGTTGGAATATATTAAGTATTACACATGGACAGGATGTTCCCCATTAAATTAAGGTATTCCACACCCCAGAGTACACGCAACTGTCAAATAGAAGTTATTGCTTTACCTGTAATCAGCCATACAACTTATCAGTTGACCGACCATGCCACTACAATTTAAAAAGTTCGTTGATAGATGAAAATGAAAATCATCATATTAATGAAAAAAATTGAATTGAAATGGATTTTCTTCATCAAAATTATGAAGTTAATTATTTTAACATAAAAACAAATTGAATAATTCCCAAAAATTAAAAGAAAATTATTATCTACTCCAGGAATAATAAAAAAAAATGTATTTATAATGGGTCCCATCAATGATTTCTATAGAAATCATCGGTTTTATGAAATGGTTCTCAAACAGACATGCATAATATCATGAATATAGATCTAAACATTTTTTTCTTTTCAGGAAGGAGTTATCACAAATATTTATTTTTGATAAAAAAACTGTAAAATTCAACACTCAAATTTGAATAAAAAATGTTTTTGGGTTGTTCTAAAAAATGAATAAGGTTTTTGAATCAAGATGGGAACAAATTCTTTGACCTAAACAAAAGCCCCCCTCTGTTTTAAGCCACACAAACCCAAAAGATGAATTGTGGGGTCCAAAAGAGATACAAGACACCTATTTTAGTAAAGCAAATTTGACTGGCAGTTTTGCGAACGGCAAAAATCTAAATGCTGTTTGTTAATACCTTCGACTTATATTCCAAGTGAAAACAATTACTTAAATGTTTAATAAAAATAAATCAAAATTAAACTACATGGGGGATTATTCAGGGTATTCCAACTAAGTTGCACCAAAAGGGTATCTTACTATACCAAATTAATCCTTGATTCTTCAAAGTTTAGTTTAGCCATAATAAAAAGTAGTATACAACAGCAATAGAATGTCATAAACAGTGCAGAATAAGTCTGTTCACATTTCAGGCGAAATTTATACTGTTGAGATAGTGTTAAGACATATTTAAGACTGTCAAGAATGTGTCGAGAAATATTCAGACATTATTTAGAATGTCTAGAATATGTCGAGACATATTCAGACATTATTAAGAATGTCAAGAATATGTCAAGACAGATCGAGACAAATTTAAGACAGTCAAGAATTGGTCGAGACTAATCCAGACTCTTATCAGATGATACAGGAAGTGTCGAGAAATTTTAAGACAATGTTCATACTGTCAAGACACTTGTCAAGAAAAATCAAGAACCTTATTAGACAAATTCATACTATGTCAAGAATTTTTTAAAATTATTCAGACAAATTAAGAATGTCGAGTAAAAATTCATGCAAATTCAGACAAAAACTGGTCTTTTCAGACTTTTAGACATTTGTAGTGTATATATCATGGTAAAATAATATATTATTACAAATCATACCTAACCTCAAAGTTTTAAAGGATTTGTGTTGCCCATTTATTTCACCTCAAGTAGTTTGCGTTCTTTGTATATATATAGTACTTCCTTATTTGATTTCTTCAAAACATATCTTGTTCAACTGGTTGAATTTTTGTAATGTCTCAAACTGTCTTATTGCTAAAATTTTAACTATTTTAATATAAGTCTTGCATAGTAGCTGATGGTTTCCTGGCGACAAATCTTACTTGAATCCGTTGGAAATTAATTCGAATCCCATCTCTTTTATTCTGTTTAATCAATTTATACCTCACCAATAAGGTATTTCTACGTCGAAAAATAATATTAACTTCAAATTTTTAAAAACATGAACATGTTTTATATACTTGAATGGCTTCGATTTACTATAACACAAGTGTACCTGCAAAGTAAGACCGTAGAGATCATTACCGTAAAAACTAGGATGTTATATCAGGTTTTTCTATAAGATAAGGAATAAGGTACAGCATACTTGATTAAACATACCTGAACTATGTCGATAGTTTTAGAGACCAAGTATTACATAAAATAAACATTATCAATGATCCACGCGTAAATGAGGTACTGTCAGTTGAACTCTTCCACTAAGACATGTATACATTGCTATCATTCCATACAAGTATATTTGACCCACAACTTATAGTATCTGAGATATGGACTATACCACGGAAACGTAACCTTGTTCACTTATCAATGAACTGAGGTCGAGGTCAGGTGAACCATGTCTGATGGTCATGTAGACCTTGCATGGATACCATATACTAGTAACCAGATATAGTTATCCCAGAACTCATGATAAGTGAGACATTCTGAAACATAAAACTATACAAATAGTTTACGCAGTTGCCGCCGCCACCACCATCAGATTGTATTATCTATGCCTCGCATTCTTGCGTCAAATACGAATTAAAAATAAAAACAACTGAAATTAGCTCTCTGACTTAGACCTAGACTTTCAAACTAACAGTAGACAATGAAACGTAAAAGCTACTACTTGCTTTGACAATATTTCTATTTTGTTTATATGTGTTACAAAATGGTGTTTGTAGAATACATCGATGCTGTACATAGCACTCATTTTGTAGATAATCTTTAACTTCATGTCAATTGTATAACCAGATGATGCTCAATAAGTCATATTTGTGTGTAAGATGGAGTGATTAAACTTTGACAGACCCCCTCCCCCTTTTTCACCGTTTGCAGTATTTCTCGTTTCTATAGATATACTCAGACCTACTAATTCAATTCATTCTGCGTTATTATTACACCTGTTTTGGAACAAAGTACTATTGTATGTGCTGCCACACTTAGCAAAAGAAAGTTGGATATTTACCCAGAAGTTAATTACGAACACCTTCTATCAAAAGACGGGAAAAATCACATTTTGGGAGAGCAACTTATAAATGTGAATATGTAAATGACATCTCTAATGATCACTTGTAACGAATCTTATGTAAAAATTCAAAATTTGGAAATTTTAATGGATCAATGTCACTGTTATTTATCAGTTGAATGAAAAGTACAAATGTCAATCTCGAATCATATTTTGCAACATGAATATCAAATCAGTCATCAATATAGAAACTAAAGTAATAATCGTTTTAAATTATTCGAATTTATTTCGCTCTAAACGGATATATGTAGGGTCGGCACGCTGTTTAAAGGTGGCTCTGTGTTTTCAAAGTACAATTGTATGTGCTTCCACACTTAGCAAAAGAAAGTTGAATATTTACCCAGAAAATCATTACCAACACCTTCTATCAAAAGACGGAAAAATAAAATTTTGGAGGGCAACTTATAAATGTTTATATGTAAATGACATCTCTAATGATCACTTGTATCAAATCTTATGTAAAAATTCAAAACTTGGAAATTTTAATCGATCGATGTCACTGTTATTTATCAGTTGAATGAAAAGTACAAATGTCAATCTCGAATCATATTTTGCAACATAAATATCAAATCAGTCATAAATATAGAGACTAAAGTAATAATCGTTTTAAATTATTCGATTTTTTTCGCTCTAAACGGATATATGTAGGGTCGGCACGCTGTTTAAAGGTGGCTCTGCGTTTTCTCTAAAATTTTAGCTATGACCTTTGACAGAAAGTTAAGACAATCGTGACCACTGTAGACAACGACGACATCAATATTTCGATGAGGCTTGTTATCCTCTTTCTACTAATATAACGTACAGCCGTGTGTTATTCTAATAACCCAAATCATTCAAATCCATTGATTGGGCACCTTAATAGGCTACTAAGTATATATGCGTGCATTTGTTTAATAATTTCGATAACATTATAATTACAAGAAACTCGTCTCATGTGACTTTAATTATTTTCATAATTAATTATTTATTTGGTGGCACAAATACAACAAGACAGGGAAATGTCTTTTTGGATCGTTTCGTCCAATGATGTTAACTGTATTGAATGTCAGATAAAGTAAATAGTGTTATATAATATATATTCTTTATTAAATTATTAATACCGTAGCTTTGACGTTGTCATTTCACGCTGAGCGACCTAGTAACCTGAACAAAATGTTACCCAACGTTACATTAAGACCTATACAAATACAGGTATTCTTTACTCAAGAAAACATAACTATAATCACATAATCACATAAGATATTCACAACCATGAGATGAAGCATTTGCTCGTAGTTTAAATGAAAGAGATGAGTATTGTTAAAACAGGATGATATGTACAAGTTAATCTTTATTTTTTGTTTTTTCTCTCATTTTAATTTCAAAGAATCATTTTAATTGAAATATAAGCTTTGATGGATTTTTGAAACATTTGAAACATCAAAACACTCTTTTGAAAGCAAAAGTCATATTCATACAGCAGCCGTTCCTTTAAAAATGTATTACTAATGTGAAACCAAAGTCTTACATTACCAGTATAAAAACGATATATTGTCATATGCTTCAATTAAGCGTCACAAGAGGTCGGGCAAGATAAGGAGAAGAGTAATTGCTATCGGCTAAAAAACAAGAAATATTGATATTTGAATTATTGATAAATGTTGTTTGAAATTTGTAAGTTACTTTAGATACTATTCCATAATGATTTTTACAACTAAGTGGCTCTGAAATTAACGTGTTAGTGTCGATTAATATGACAACTAACAAAAAACAAAGATTGAAATTTGTGTCAGTCAAATTTATTCACAACTTGTATAGACTGGACACGATTTAGACCTTAAAATATTGCAAAAAACCCCGTCTCTTGTTTAAGATTGTAGATGTTGCTGTGGGGATGTCTGTTTGGGTTTTTTTTTTGTCGTTCGGGTGCTGTCTTATTGGCGATTAATTATCCTCGTATCTATACTGCATGTAGAATAAGTACATGTATGTTGTTCTGTTAAGGGCATGTTGTTTATAATTCTCTGAAAGTTTAAATGTGTTCCGCTTTCCACACTTTTGGTGGCGATCGGATTTGAAGATGATTATTCAAGAAACCCAGTTGTGCATACTATGATTGATATTCATATGTCCAGGTTTCAGGTCTGATACTAGTGATAATGAGTACTTATCAATGACGTATTCGATTTTTTTAGCGCGTTGCCATCAATATGTTCATATCTATATGAAATTCTTACTGATATGATAGTTGTTGAAGAAATGAACAGCACATAATTTGGCAATTAATGTACGTGAGATCCTAATAAACCTAATTGATTTAAATCAAAGTAAGTACTTGGAAAATTGGACTGCTTTTGATGCCACAAGGGAAGACAACATCTTTCAGTATAATAACAGTCTTCGTGTGGTAAATGGTCCTCAAAATACCCCTTTGAACAATAGCTTTTCGTACAAATTCCTCCACTCCTCCTACACGCATATCCTGCATAACCTGTAACATGTAAAGCTTACACATTTAGTTAATCACTTTAACAATTCATTCAGTTAAGAAAGTGTATCTGATCGGGAAAACAAGATGTAAACATATTTTATTTCAAAATATATAATACACGATAGAACAAACTAAAGTTTAAAAAATATATATGGAAAGTATGTGAAAGGAGGTTTTCAGAGGGAAATTATAAATCCATAGTTTTGCGGGAAAAAAACAAACAAAACAATAACTCGTGAAATACCGTTTCAACTTGCATTTCAGTAAATGTTTTACAACTTATCTGTGTGTCCTTGTAACAAGTTCTCCTTCTCCAATTAAAACTTTTATTATTACTTGTGTAATATAAAAGAAATGGAACTGATTTTTTGGAGTGTAAAATATCATTTGAATGTTTTACATACATTCCGTGTTTTTGATGTTCTTTTCAACTCAGTTTATAGTTATGACTCTCTATATTACATGTCTATACAATCTCATCATTGACAAAGAGTAGTTTTTACTATTAAATTAAAAGTCCTTTGGAGAATGTGATTAGACATGATTTTGATGTGACTAATATAAAGCCTTTTTGTAATGAAAATAAATTGAAAATATGCTACATTTACTTCCTAAAATGGTGATAATATGAGATGGTTGAAGGTTATCATACGAGCACCAATTGAGACCCTATTAGAGCAGATGTGTTCCTGTACTGATGTGAATCACAGCTAACTTGTGGCCAAATTTAGTTGAGATCCGTTAAAATCAATTCGATTGAAAAATTTTATAACACTTGCCTTGGTGATATTTTTTTGCTTAGAATAATCAAGAAGTTTCTAAACATAATGCAGATATTGACATCATGCAAACGGCTTCAAACATGTTAAATATGCACCTAATATAACAGTTATAATGTTACCTTTTCTAGGTTTGGTCATTTCATTTTCACACAGACAAATATAAACACATTTTTGTTTCTACAAAAGAGGCGATTTTTCGTTCCCTCTTGCTGATTATCCTTTTTTTTATGCTAGTATTTAGTTGGTCCATTCTTACAATGTGTATATTTCCAAACACATTCGCTATGCCTTAGTCTGTAATGAAATTTCAAATTTCGCTAATATCAATCTATATATAACTGGTAAATTATAAGTCAGGAATTTCTTAACTACAAATTACTTGACAATTTTTTCAAATTCTTTCATAGATACATACGTTTAGTTTGAAAGTTTGATAGTAAATCATGTTAATATGGTAACTGTAGAAATCTTTTTACAGATAGGATACATCCTGATTTTAACGGTAGAGTTGTTTATAGAACCTGTAAACTTAGATATGATCCATGTTTACTTATTAATTTAAAATATTCAAGACAGTATCAATGTAACTATGTTATCAGATCTTTGAATCTCTATCGGTACTAACATTGATTTTTGTTTATGATTTAAAACAACACTAAAATATTAAAATATCTACAAAGGATTCAAAATCTTATGTCTAAAGTCTCTGTTACATTCCCCGTTTCAATTCTCAATTCTATGTCTTATTGCTCATATTCACTAACAATATGATTTAACAGAAAGTTATCATGTTTTACAACTATAAGAGATTATAGTCAGATGGCTATTGACAGACTGATGTATGAGCAATGGTAATAAAGAAAATGTAACCCAATCTGCAGACTGCACCCAACACTATAAACATTAAAGAACTCAAAGGTTGTTGATCATTTACTATATCCAACTGAGAAACCAATTTGCGCGCGAAAACTAAAAATTGACCATAGAAACATGAAAAGCGGTTACATATAAAAATAAGAAGATGTTATATGAATGCCAATGAGAACTTTCCACCAGAGGCCAATTAACGTAGAGGTAAGCAACGACATGTCATCGTAAAGCCTTTAACAATGAGCAAAACCTGAACCAGATAGCAAGCTACATGTATAAAAGGCCCCGACAAAACTAACAACCTGATTTATGTACAAAACAATAAACGAAACACAACTATGATATACAGCAACAAAAGGCAACCACTGAATTACAGGCTTCTGACTATGGACAGACACACACAGAATGTGTCGCGATTAAACATGTTTGAGGGCGCCAAAAAAAACCCTTCCCCCTCGAACCGGGAACAGTGATGTAACAGCACAACATAAAAACTCACTATAAAATTCAGTTAAAAAAGGCTTGACTCATGAGATCCAAACAAAACACACAGGACTTAAGAAACAAAGTACGGGACTTACGGTCATAAAAATGTCGAGTAGGATTATCGTACTTAGACTCAGAAATTCAACCAATAAAACTACTGTGTTTGGTGCTTCGAGCACAAATTATATACTCTGAGTTCTGAGTGTATTTCTATGACCGAGAGTTACTGAAAGATAGTTCAAAGCCAATAAGAACTAATGAAAAATCATGCACTGAAATATCAATCAGTACACATTCAATAAATTTAGTATAAAGACGTCATACACAGGCAGAGACAACTTGCTATTGTGCAATGCCAAGAAATATGTTTCGACAGAATGTAGGACCGTTAATATTCACAGTCTTATAGCAATAACCTATATTTATGCTCTATTTTATTGATTAAAAAATCGATGTAGGTACCGATAAAACAATATCATCGCTATTTTGTGTATTTTTCCTTTGGTCTATTTTGTGATAATTTTCATATCATGCTACTCGCTTGAGATAGAAAATCATCGTCAGAAACTAAGGGCGCACGTGACGTTGTCAATGTAAACAACAACTACATCATAGGCATAATCATGATAATAGCGATGAATAAATTATCAATGGTCTTTCAAACTCGAGGATGTTTCTCGGCCACACTTCATCTCAAGACTATCGTCTTCGATCAGATTGATGCTGTGAAATACCCTCTCGTTTGAAAAACCATCGATAATCTATAATTCAAAGATCTTATTACAGTTATTTACACTTAACAATAAAATTAAAATAGTAGTCATATTAATCATAAAAACTGACCTTCGTCGTGCCTATGTGAAGCCTTTTAAAAAATATTAAATTCAAATTTGAACCATGGACAAGAGATTAAAGATCTTTTCCATTAGTAAAAACTATTGAGTGCATAACGAAAAAAAGTGTCTCGGTAGTAAAAACGTTCCTTAGCCTTCGTTGGTTTAAAAAGTGTAGTACAGTAAGATATTTTATAACTATCGCAATTTTGCGTATTTTTCCTTTGATCTTTTTTCAAGCTACTCACTTGAGATAGAAAATTATGGTCAGAAACTAAAGGCGCACGTGGCGTTGTCAATGTAAACATCAACGACGTCATAGGCAAAATAGCTATAAACAGATTACCAATGGTCTTTCAAACTCTAGGATGTTTTTCGGCCACATCTCATCTCAGGGCTGTCGCCTTCCGATAAAGTTGTAGATGAGAAACACCGTCTTGTTTGAAAAACCATCGATAATCTATAATTACGGAAAAAACTGCTATGTTTATCATGCCAGTACCGGAGCACTGTCGTCTTATCGGAAAATTATGCGGTTATCTGTGCAATCAAATATTGTCCAATTCTGAAAACATTTTTGAGAATGTTTATTTATCTCATATAAACCGTCAGTGGGTATAATGTATGTCCTCGTTACAATAAAAATTATATCACATAGAAGTAGTTATAGACTTGACTTACATGTTCCACAGATAACGGCGAGAAAAAAAAGCAATACAAACGATGTGACTGGATTTCATTTTTTCTTTTTTTACAAACTCATAGAGATATAATGTGTATACCATGAACGTCTTGCTCCCCCTCTGTCGCAAAGGAATATATACAACATTAACTAGGCGTCAATTATTTATTAAAACATATTATGTAAGACATATGTCACACGTTTCCAGAAGCTATTTGATTTTTGAAGAATAAGCATATTAAGTTAACGGTAGAGAGGTCAAACATATAATGGTATCAAAATAATCGTTTTGCACCTGAACGGTTTCTGTACTTTTAGACGCTTTTTGTCTTAGTTCTTGACTACTTGACTATTTACGAATTTGGATTTGCACCCTTAATCGGGTTAAAAATAGGGATGTTAGGTATCATTTTTCATAATGAATCACTATTATTCCTTTGGCGGGTTTGATTGAACCAGGCTTTTATTTGTCTTAAGTTTATTATTCGCTTAAATATATGGATAATAGGCACTAATTGGGCCTCTTTTTCTAAACTGTTATCAATAACATCTATTGTCGGTCTCTCTTGGACTTACATTAATGAGTTTTGATTCTTCGTTTTTAGTATCTTTCGTCTCTTTTCTGTCTTAACTTCATAAAGACACAACAAACACCATTTAAACAAATAGTAGATGACATACTATGCATGTAACCTAAATGTACAAGTAGGAGAAAAATAAGCGGCGTTATTGTCAAAAGAATAAAAGAATGATACAAGGATCATTTCATGACACACTACACTACAAAAACAAATTGAGAAACACAACCATTCTTCTAGATATAGTATTCACAAGCAGATAAGTTTATAAATTGTAGCTATACCATGGCATATTATCTAAAGAAACTAATTGATAAAGGTCATAATTATATTGGTCAATTATTTTCTTTGATAATTTCAAGGTAATTTAAAGTATAAATACCCACTTGCTTGGTTTTCAAATATTCAGCTTTAAGCGTTCCTGATGACGGTAGATCCAGAAGAGCGCTTTAGATGCATGTAATTTAAAACGGGTTGTTTTTATTTTTGTAAACAACTTTTAGTTTGAAACTGTCATTTGATCTGCACAACTCATAAAGGACTGAACAATAAATTTAGAAGCTATTTTTAGTTTTTCAATCTTTTTTTCAGACTCATCCACTGCGTTAATTCAGTACATTTCGATTGTAGTCAAATAAGATCAGTTCAGTCTATGTTCAAAATGTTTAGTAGTTACATTTTACCTGTAAAGATCAACTATATAGTTACTGAATTATATGAAAAAGTATTGAACAGTACTGAATTAACCGCAGTATTTGAAAATTGAGTGAAAGACTGAACATGACTTAATAAATCATTGTTCGGACTTTCGATATGGGTTTTATTTATTGTTGAATACCGTATGGCGAACTATAGTTATTTTCAGACTTGTCTTTCTTATTGGCAATTCTTATTTGATATTAACAATATTATATTTTTTTCTTTTTTGAATTTTTAAGTACATACAGTACATGTTAAATCTAGCTTATTTCTAGCCATGTTAGAAGACGGATATTTAAAGAAACATTGCAAGGCGGTTTTCAATTCTAATAAATGCACCGTAAAGACAATCGAATATAATTGCTAGATTAATGTATATAAATTTCCACGTCAGTTATATCATTTAAAGTATAGTTAGAAAATACATTGCTTTATGACAGAATATGAACTTGATGAATTAAGTCCTATCAAATCATTTTGAACGAAGACATGCATAAATTATATGATTAATGAGCTCTGTACATGATTCATCTACATAGCTTTTACCACAAGTCTTTTTTTTTTTATATACAAACATCGCAATCGTCTTTATTTTTTCGTTGTATATATGTTAAATTAAAAATGATACTGTACAAATTTCGTGCTTCCAATTGATATCACCTTCATTCAAAACGGCTAGATTCGAACTTGCAAAGTCAGTTATGTATACATACTTGTGGAGCTATGTTAAATATAGGGACTTAAAACAATAGCCACAGCCAGCGTATATTATATATAAGCTATCACTACATGTACTAGTCAGGGTGTAATAGAATCAAACTCAGATCAATGTGATAGTTTTAATCATGCACAGCTTCAAATAAGTGAATACTTGACCTTACAGATGTAAAGTAGGAAAATCAATTTCACACGCTTCAGGACTTGTTAACAAGAGTACGGTACAGAAAAACAAACTAAAATTTCAAAAAAAAAGGAAAAAGAAACAAACAACAAACGACAGTCTCCAAAGCACTTCACAAAAAACTACAGATTAAACAACACGATCTTATGTGCTCCAGAATGGTTAGCAGGATACTGTTCCACATGTGACACCTTATGTCATGATCAAAGAAAAGAGGACGAGATTGTGACACAGATACGTTTTAGTTTTCTGAACTGATTTGATTAGAATTGAGAGACCTTTGCTA